GCTACACGCCCCTTAGGTGGGGGTAGCCTGTTTACAAAGTAAGACAGGGAAAGAAGCTGCTTGCTGCCATTCCTCCCATTTGCTCTGGCTGTTTGCTGTTTGGCTGCCATTCCCCCCTTTGCTCTTGTTGCTTTGCTATCTTCTGCCTCGGAGCCAGCCAAGTATGGACTGAAACCTCCACAAACTGTAAGCGAAATAAACCTTTCCTTCCCTCATTTTGGGTGTTGGGTATTTTGTCTCAGCAACGAGAAAAAAGTAACCAAGACAGCTACTGTGTCCTAACTGGAACAGATCAGCCTGACCGAGTGTCTTGGTTACTTTTTTGTCTTGGTTACTTTTTTATCGCTGCTGGGACAAAATACCTGATGCCCAAAATTGAGGAAGGAAAGGTTTATTTAGCTTACAGTTTATGGAGGTTTCAGTCCCTACTTGGCAGATTAAAAGGCAGAGTGGCACATGGCAGAGCTACGGCTCATGGCGGCAGACAACCGCCAAGCAACAAGCACACACCAGCAAGGAATTGGGGAGGAATTGCCTCAAGCACCCTTTTCCTCTCCCTTACATATGCAAACTATCCACTCCCCAGCAGGTGCAGCTCTCACACCCATATTCAAACTCTAATCGCCTGCCCCATGGCCGCATGAGGCTTTGGGGGGACACACAGACATAAACCATAACACCGAGCCAGCCTGACACTAACTACACAGAGAAGGACAGTCCACACTGAGCCTCGAGAAGGTAGCACATGACACCTGTGTACAGTCAGGGCAATCTAGGTATCACACAACCAACTTACTCTGAGGAGTCGTGGGCCCATGCAAACTCCTGGGCAGACCCAAAGCTCTTGTTTCTCAGGGCCATCGCTGTATAGATGATATACTCCCCGTCTCCACACACCACAACGAACCTGGGAGTTACGGAAGTCAGGAGACAAGCTCAGAGGGCCAGCAACATACAGATGTTACAGAACAACACGTTCTTTTGGAAAAGTAATTCTAGTAACAAATGTTATTTCAGTCACTTAATATAACTTAAAAATCTTCTGAAGTTATATAGTTCTTTAAATACATGGCTAAAGGCAACAAATCCAAGATCAAATTACGAATACAGGGTTACTGCTGAAAATGTTATCACAAGGCCTTATAATCTAAGGAGGTGGCACAGGAAGGTGAGCATGGCTGGAAATGTACAGGAGGATTCCAATTATTCGTATCTGCTGAGTGCCTGTTATTAGCACTTTGCTCAAGACATTTACACCATAGGAAAGCACTTTCTCATTAATGGAGGATTATCTTCATTGAAGCTCATCATTCAAATGATGAAAAATATATTATTCTAGTTTTTAGTGATTTAAATTTATAGAAAGGACTTAAACAACAAAAATATAATGCTGAATAATCAATGAAAATTGCCCAATTGCCACAAAACAATTCTCTCCAAAGTTAATAATTAGAACATTGTAATGCCTGCTATCTAAGCACTGCCAAAGGTAAAATGAAACCTAAAAACAAAGGATTTTTGCGATAGTAAGAGAAGTATATATAATGCATTCTAACTTTGAGATAATTATATTACAAATGTTAATGGACATCCTTTATTGCACTCTTGAATCATATTTTGTCTTTATTAATATTCAAGACAGCATTATAAGATGCCAAAACCTATTACAAAGTTATTTTTAAAGCTCTATAGGTTTAAATGCATTGTTTTAGGAACTCCTCTCTCAAAAATGTTTACTGCATTATAAATGTTAAAGGAGAAACAACTGACCACATTATGAATAGGAAGAATTATTACCAATCCCAAAATGTTCTCAAAGGACACATAGCTCAGTTTTCTTTCTGAAGAGCAATGAGTCAGAGGGTACTTAGCATCTACTAAGTCTCAGGGTAAGATATGATTCTTGCCCCCAGAGGGGCAGACAGGAGCACAAATGCAACATGTGAAGTAGGAGTGAGCAAATATTATTCAGTTCCTGCACCTTGCATGACTGACAAACTGGCATGGCAGTGTGCAGCAGTGTTGGGGATTCTGAGGGAGGGCAACAGCTCAATGAAGAGTGACTGGGGATGCCTACCACAGGAACATGCTGTCGTTAGGCCAGGCCTGCTCTAACATACACAGGAGCTCAGCGATTGTGGTGATAGCTTACCGCCCATTAGGATTGTGCTGAATTGTCTGAGGGTATATTTCACAACTGCCCATATCCTTTACTGCCAGTGGCAATCTTTCTCCATCTTTAATTTCGGCATCTCCCATTGCTTTTAGGTTGGCCTGCTGGACTTCTGAGTGCTTGGCCCAAATTATCTTTCCATTGGCATCCATGGACATGGCAGGTTCCTCCCGCCCAAGCTGGAAAGGACAAATAAAATGAAAAGGTAAACAAAGCCACAACAAAAGGCATATTCTTTTTTTTCTTTTAATGGAGATATCTGTTTTCTTTCTTCCACTTTTAAATTATCACAGCTTAATTTTAGTGCTTAATAAAAGAAGTGCCAGCTAACCGCCACTTTGGAAGATAACAGTACTGAAATATAAGTACAGTGGCTGTGCCCGTATCCGTTTGCTTAGGGAGAGAGTACAATTACCTTCACAATGATGCTCCCTTCATCATAGCCCAGAGCGACGTTATTGGACCCCCGCAGACTAGCCACGCACCACACCCTCTCCATTCCGTAATTCAATGTGCTTTCAAGCCGGTAGGTGCTTGAATGCCAAATGCGCACTGTTCCTAAAAAGAAAATTGTGGATATTCCCTTTTGATATGACATTAAAAAAAAAAAAAAACTAAGTGAAGTGGATAAACCACATCAAGTCTTTCTATTCCAACAGAAACACTTGTGACTAATTTTATGGCCAACTTTAATGATTGGTTTTTTGGATCGACAACTGATTTTTATAAAGTAACATATACATAATCATAGAAACTTATAAAAGAAACTAGGAAATGATTTGAAATGTGAGATAGTAACACATTTCCTGGGCAGAGTGCTTGCAATATGCCAGATGCTTTCTGCATGTGATTCTTCTCCTGCTCCCCTCACACTATAACCTCAGGAAGTAGACATTATTTTCCAGTTTCATAATTTGTCTACACCACACATTTGTGAAGTTGCAGTGCCTGAACTTGAACGTGTATTTGTTTAACTCTGAAGCACATTTTTTCTCTAGAATACCCAGCTGTCCTCTTATTTAAGTCACAGAATCAAAATATTACATTAGAATGATAGTGATAATAAAGCCTCTTTATTTTGGTATTTTGATAGCTTAAGACTAGTATTCTACTAACAATATCAATTAACCAGAAACTTCCCACTACAATGTAGAAGTATTACATGGTTTAAATATTCATTCAATAATTACAAGCACAGGAGTAAATACATACTCTAACTTACCATCTTCTGAACCTGTGATGATGATTGGCAATTCAGGATGAAAACTAGCACAGGACACATTCTGGGCATGTCCTTCCAGTGTTTGTACACATGTTTTATTCTGAATTAAGACACAGAAAACATTTTTATCAGTGAAAAATAAGTAACATCCTTAATTTTCCCAATGCACAGCTACATTATCAATGATAGTGGTTATAACAATCTAGATACAATATAGAAAATTTTAAAGTAATTACCTTGTATCCATGAATGTTTTCTCACTTGTTACATAGAACATATAAATGTAGTTCTTGTATTTAAAAAAACCACTAAAACATCTAAGTTTTCATATGAATATTATTTCTTCAAATTCTTAGCATAATGAGTTTCTTTTCTATTCCAATACACATTTTAAAGTTTCAAAGTAAACTTGGTTTTCTAGGTTTCACTGCTCATACAAACTTTTGGTGTGGGAGACAAAAAATAAATTTAAGACAAAGTATAGTAACAGTTTATAACTATGTTTACAAGAGTTCTATGTGGAAAAATGCTTGTACCATAGCTATGTCTTTAGCCACTGATCAACTTATTTTCAAATATAAATAGAAGTCTTCCAATAAGGACATACAGGATGAATAACATTAAACTTAAAATTTATAAATTCAATCACTAAATGAAAAACAAACCTGCTAGCATTTTATTTTTAAAATCTTTTTTTTTTGTTTTTGTTTTTCTCCGGTACTGGGAACCGAACTCACGACCTTGCACTTGCCAGGCAAGTGCTTTGCCGCTGAGCTAAATCCCCAGCCCCTATTTTTAAAATCTTGACATGCGTTTGTGGATTTCTAAAAATATTACTAAGGATTGAACCCAGGGCTGTGCACATGCTAGGCGAGTACTCCACTGCTGGGCTACATCCCCAGCCCTGTGTTCATTTTTACAGAAATCTGAGACTACAACTTAAGTGCAAGTACTGAGGCCTTAAGTTATTACGCTATGAACAGAGCTTAGCAACCAAATTTTAACTGCCCTGGAAGAAACAGTAAAAAATGTATCTGAAATATGGTGAGTAAGGTAATGAAAAATTGTACCTGATAATCCCATATTTTAACAAGTCGGTCATCTGCACCTGAAATGAGGTACGGTTTGTCGCCACCACTGTAGTAATCAATGCAATTCACACCTTTCTCGTGTCCCTCCAGAGTGAAGTTTGGTGAAGAAGAGCCCAGCTGCCACACCTTCAGAGCAACAGCATCTGCCAGTCAGTACAGGCCTTCGATTTCACAGGGCTGATCCACCACACTCTGACACGCAACATACAACACCAAAGCCCAGGAGAGAAAAGCTAAGAAGCCTTCAACCCCGCTACAACTCATGTTTTAGTTCTTTCTCATTTTACTTGAATTTCCAGGAGGCAGAATCATTGTCAAGTTCTCTGGAAATGCCAATCTCCAGGCTTTATCCCTACAGATTATGAATACATATCGCTGACCTACAATAAAGCCCAAGGATCTAGACGTTTAACAGTGAGAAACATTACTTTAAGGGAAGGTAATAATTTGATGGGAGATTTAATACAGTAAGATGTACTGAAAGGAAAAAAACAATTTGATTAAAAAATTTATAGTATAGAAAATCAGTCAAAGCTTCCAGGACTGAGCTTTATCTTTATAAATATTTACTGACTGTCTACTATGTGGAAGTCCCTTTGGAGAGTATAGAGCTATGCAAACAAAGAATTACCACTTATTTGCATGTGTGTTGAGTGACAAAGTTAACTTAAGCGAGAGATCATTTTTGTTCCAAAGATAAACCTAATTTAGTGAAGTTTTAGGCTAATTACAAAGTTTCTAACCTTTGTCAAAAGCAAGCACAATCCAAAAAGGGGAAAAATAAGTAAGGTCAAACTCTAAGTTATTCAGAAATGTAACAGTTTATATAAATTAAAGGAAAACCAATTAAATGTTCTATGAAATTAAATGTGTAAGCAAACGTTACTGTGATTTAATATCTACGCATAAATATACATTTTAAATATTATAATCGCAAAAGAAATATGACTGTACTCACTGCAGCATGTAGTAAGCATCTAGTGCAGGCAAAGCACTGTGCTGTTTGCTGCTGAATGCCTGTTTGGGAGAAGGGGAAAACACCCAGTTCCTGGCCCAAACTTCTAATACTTCACAGGGTAAAGATTTGCAAAAACATTAATTATGACTTTGTGTGAGAATGGGATGAGCATTAATTCGATCTGTCTATAACTGAAGTGGACCTCTCACAAGAGCTTCTGAGTTATGTATTTGTGCTAATAAGCCTTGAAATCTGTGTACTTCTCCAGAGGAAAATAAACCAAAAAGGGAAAACAAAGAAACTTGAAGGCAGAGGGAAGAGTTGGTTAAGGGAAGGTTCATTTCCTGAAAGGTGAGGAGACAAGGGTTACAGATGTCTCACAACCTTGGTACAGGTTAGCCTTGGCAATCCTAAGGCACCTGCACTTTACACTTACATTGAGAACTGACAAGATGGAATCTATGACTAGGAAAAGTACGGGCTCAGTATAGGGTAATAGTAAGAAAAGGAGAAGGGAAGCAGAGAATTCAAATGTAAAATAGATTAATAATGACGTGAGGTCAACAATGAGTATACTAAGGAACGGAAAGTAGTAAACTAGAGAAGATCACAGTTTTTCTTTTCTTTTTTTTGGTCTTTTTGAGACAGGGTCTCACTATTCAGTTCAGGCTGGCCTTGAGCTCAGTTTGTAGCCCAGGCTGGCCTTGAACTTGCAACAATCCTCCTGCCTCAGCCTCCCAGGTGCTAGGATTACAGGCATGTGCCACCACACCCGGCTGGAAGATCACAGCATTTTTCTTACTCTAGGTTCCTGAAGGCTAAAAAATTGTGTTGTTTTCACATGGCAAAATGCTCCTTCTTTAAGAGGATTGCTATGATATTCTAAATAGTACATGTCCTTCTGGATCAAAATGAGAGTATTTTGACTGCAAAATGAACTTGTGAAAGAAACTTCTAAGGCAAAAGTAGCTTTCCGGATTGTGAATAGTGGAGCATCTAGGTAACTGTATTCCACTGGCAATAGTAACTTACACACTGAGCGGCCCCTACCTTGATGGTCCTGTCCAAAGATGCACTGGCAAACTGATTGTTATCTTTGGGGTTGATCACAATCTGCATAACATAATGGGTATGTCCTTCAAATACTTGTGAGCAAGACCATTTTTTGTCCCAGTCCCAGAGCTTAATAAGCATGTCATCTAGGCCAAAAGAAAAGCCCCACATTAGCTGCACTTTCTATTTTTTTCTCATTCAGAAATAAGACACAGAATCTTTGTACCTTTAAAACAGCAAACTTAACACAAACCACACATTCCATGATTTAATGAAATAGAATTATACTGAAAAAGATTTTCTAAAATCCTTAAGAATAAACATCTACAGCAGAGTGGAAATAAAATAAATAAAATAAGACCACTAACAGCAAATATAAAAAGCTGTGAAAAAATTTATGAAGAACCCACTGGACTTTCAAGCATGAAATGAGTAATATAAGTTTGATTAGAAATAATGATAGTAATGGTAATTGAGAGAATAGGCATTTGCTCTTGTCAGATTGGTTTTTAAGAAGTTTTCAATATTTAATTTAGAAACTAAAAGTACTCAGAGGTACTGCCAATTCAGTGCTATTCATTTTAATTGCCTTCCCAAAGTTTCTCTGTTTTATACAAAATCCCAAGGAAGAAACTAGTCTGAATACAAAGATAAAACTGAGGAGGGTCTATGGCAACCTGCCAACAACTCACTCATCAGCATGTAAATGAGCTTTTTGCTCAGCAGATGTTTAAACAGCTAGACCTGTAGGTCTTCCTTGACAGGAATCAGAGCAGTCGTTAGACATTCCTAAGTACAGTTGATATTTCATTGAAATGTAAAAGTAAGCAGCATCCATAGCACAATAATGGATTTAAATGGCTTAAGAGCCGCTTGGAATTCAAACTCTACCGCTAACCGCAGGTAAAGAAAAGCATATCTCACTGAATGAAAATTAATTACCCAAAGAGACGCACATGACCAAAAGAGGTCATCTCTTACCACTGCTAGTTAGAATGAAAGGCTGGGTTGGATGAACAGCTATACAGCGAATGTAGTCGGAGTGTGCTTCAAACATATGAACTCTTTCCAGGGTATTGTAATTGAACACTCTGATCTGCATGTCATCCTAGCAATGAAAATGTAAAAATCATCATCATTTTTATGAAGTAAATTTTACAGAACACTCTATTACAGACTCAAGGCACAACATCCATGCTTCAACACACTGCATTAACTAAGCTGGCATGGTGGCACACCCTTGCAATCCCAGCATTTGGGAGGTTAAGGCAAGAGGATCTCCACGAGTCTGAGACCAGCCTGGACTACACACTGAGTCAAGGGCACCCTGAACTACATACCAGGATTCCGTTGCAAGAAAAAAAAAAAAAAAAAGACAACAAAACACACTGCATTAACAAATCAGGAATCAAAACTCTCCAACTAGTTCACGTAATATCAACCAAATAAGAAAACAGCACCCGAGACTCAGAACAACTTACCGCTCCCGTCACAACCCAGTTCTTCCTCGCAACAAACTTTGCAGCTCGAACAGGAAGATCGCATACTTCAAATGTCTTCACCAGTGTCTTTAAAATTTAACAATATACACATTGAGCTATGAAAAAATAACTGAAAATTCTATTCTGCTATTTTTAAAACAGCCGATCACTTAGATCACTTCTAATTTAAAAATATTGTCAGACTAAAATATGAAAGCTCAATATTAAAATGAAAAAATGGCCTGATCACCTTTTGCTTAATAGATATGTAATTAAAATGTCTTTAGAAGAGAAAGCAAATGTCCACAAGATGGTACTGCAGATTCTCTGTGCTCTGGCCCTTTTCTTCCAATCTAGCCTTACCCTGCTACTCCCACTCACTCTGATTGCACACCCTGCCATGGAAATCTGTACTTTCCTTTTATAATAGCACTTCATAATTACACGTTTAATTTCAATATTCCCTGCTATGTTATGTCCTATGGGTGGGAGGCATCATCTCCACTGTATGCCCTGATCCTACAATGGTGGCTGGCACTTACTGAATGAATTCGTGCTTAGTTATCGGTTTCTTCTTTTAAAACTGAACTCACAGCTGTGACTCAAAAACAAGACATAATTCTTTTGTATGCTTTAGCAATATACTACCATAAAATGCTTTTTCTTCCTCAGTAAGTATGAAAACTTAAGTGATTTAGATGTGTTTTTGAGCTGCTCAAAGTGTAGTAGATACAGAGGATAAAGTAGAAAAACAGGAGAAGCCCTAGAAAGAGCAGAAATGAATGTACTTCCTTTGTTCCCACTTTGATGCCTCTTTTTTAAACTTCTGGAAATCAAACTAGTTTTCAATCTCTCTGTTTGTACTAGAAAACAATAATGAAGTATTTAAAAAATATAATATAATCTTATTGGCTCAGTAACCATGTGCACTGAAAGAAACAGGAACTGGTTCACAAGCACTGTTGAGCCCACCCTGGCTTTCTAGGCCTGATGTCAGAGATTCTCTAGGCAATGCTTCAACAACTGAGGACGTCAGTGCACACCTACACAAATGCTACCAGTTGACTATGATACTACCACAGAGAACAGACAGAAAATGTATCTATAAGACGGCAGAAAAATATAGCAAAATTGAGGAGGGGCTAATCAATCCCAGGATATGCAGAGCAGTAAAAATAAATCAGCAGCAGAACAATCATGGTTCCACACCATGTTGGGTGCTGTGTGGTTTGCACAAATGACACGAGAAATGGTCTACATATTCTGGAGCTAAACAATCTAAGGAAGAAAAAAAGCAATACCCTCAAATATACATATGTCCAATGTGAATTAGGAAAGTCATGAGGAATACTTATATAGTCCTTCATAAGTCTCATACATAATATTATTTAATATTTGATGTTTTAACAACCTTGTGATATAAAGACTGTAATAATATCATCTTCAATTTATGTAAAATACACTAAGGATTAACATAGTTAAAAGCCTCCAAATCATCAAGTACTGTGAATTATTATCTTTCTTTAAATTGAGGTACATTTGAATTTACTTCCAAAAGCGTTTTGGTTCTCTCAGAAATGTCACTCTTGATATACATGAATGGCAAATAATTCTTGTTGGTGATAACAGAGGAAAATGTAGGCAGAACCAACGATCAATTATTTAACAAGGACTTTCTAGGTATCTACCCTGAGCCTCACACTATGCCAGGCAGTGCCCTATTCACTGGAGGAACAGTGGCAAATAAGATTAGGGGATCCCTGTCCTCACAGAACTCCCATTCTTAGAGGCAAAAAAAAAACATTAAACATAAAATTAACAATGAGATTAACGACGAAAGGAGAAGACATCCTGTAGGAAGGCAGAGAAGGGAGCAAAAGAGAGAAAAGAGGCAAAGTAGACACCCAGATAAAACAGAGATCTAGGAAAGCCTAGAGAAGACTAAGGGAAGTACACCTTGGCTTAAGAACATTTGATAGTGATATGACAATGCTGACAGGTAAAATGAGCCAACAAAGGGACTCTCCTTGAAGAATTAGGGTAGTGGGACTCCAACCCATTGGGCATAAAACAGATACACTTGAAATAGTTGGAGGATAGAGACAGACAGATAGACATACAGACAGAGAGAAGGTGGAGGAGGAAGACAGGAAGAGAGGAAGCAGGTGAGGCAGAGGAAGAGGAGGAAGAAGACCAATAAAGATCTGAAACTGCAGAGAACAGACATTCTGAACTAGTGATGAATGAATGCTTTTTCTTCTTTAGTTTAGCAAGTAATTATTAAGCACTTAACTACGTAGGAGATAATGACACAGGGACTGAGATACAGTACAGAACAAAGTGTTAATATGCATAAAATGCCAAGAATGAAAGTCTTGGTTTAGTGTGCATTACAGTGAGTGTAACAGTGTGAGAGGATTTTTAGGTTTACTCACAACCTTGACTCTGTAATTCTATTTTTGCCATTTGAAATTCCTCAGTAAAAGAGCGAATTTCATAAGTGAATTTCGTATGTATTTCAAGAACTTAACATTGAGGATAAATACCATATAAGTAGCTGCATGACAGAGTGCTAATAATATTTTCGTACTTAGGAAAACATTAAAGATAGTCTAAAAAGATGGGGGTATGAAGAGAATGATAAACATTAAGGTAGACAATTTATAACAGGCATAATCATACGTATACAAAAGTTGACAATTATTTCTATATGGCTTCTTGAAAGCTACCTGTATATCATTACATTGAACATTTGGGGAAAACATAAAAATTTAAAATTTAACTCTTAAGACAGAATGGGAAATTAAGTATTAACGATGAAATGTTTTATCGATAGCAAGTCACCCTACTTTTTAGTATCAGTTTCCCCAATTTCAAAGAAAAAACCCTACATTTTAGCATCAGTTTCCCCAATTTCAAAGAAAAACTAAGACTACTACATCAGAGTCACTACATTTAAATATCATATATGTCTGCGAGCTATACCCTCATAAATGTAGTTTGTCTCTATTCAAAATAATTTGTACCAATTCATTTCAGAAAGCAGTGTGCATATAGCTACTGGACTCTTATTTATAACAGTTTTTCTCATTCATTATAAAAATTGTCTGATATAGTATTTTATTTTTAATAAAGTCTTTTTAAAAATCCTACCTGTGTTTCATGATTCCAAACGCATACACTGCCATTGTAAAGACTCGCTAACATCCATGGTTCTGTAGGATGTAAATCCACACTCTTAACTCGATCAGATCTAGCCGTTAGCTTTCTCTTGATATCAAGTCGAAGAGGCTAAGGAGAAAAAATATTTAAAACAGTTAAATTTCTAAGCCAAATAAAACATATCTGAGATCTCAATTACAAACAGTTTATTAACAAGTCTAAAAAAGTAATTGTTTTTTACTTTGCAAAACTGTGGACACATTTTTCAGTCTAAAATACTTCTTCAACTGTACATAGAAAAAAAATGAGAATTTTTAAAATTTGATTCATAGTAGTAGTTTTTTTAGTTCTCAGAACCCTTTTACATACTTAGAAAGTTGTGTTGTCTATACTTAGCCAAAAGGCTGAGAAGTGATAGAAAGTTCTATTCACAGGGCCTGGGGATTTAGCTCAGCAGCAAAAGCGCCTGCCTGGCAAGCGCAAGGTCGTGAGTTCAGTTCCCGGTACCGGAGAAAAACCAAAAAAAAAAAAAAAAAAAGAAAGTTCTATTCACAAAAAAAATTTAATGAAAAGAGAGTGGCAATGTTGCATACTTTTGAAAAAGCTCTGAATTCTGACTTAACAGAAGACAGTTGGTTTCTCATGTTTATATTTTCAATATATTGTGATATTGTTTTAAGTGGTGTATACAAAAAACGATAACTCACAGTAAGTAGCTGAAATATTTTAATAATCATTGAAATAACAGGATATTCTTTTTTGACACCCCATTAAACCTCAAGATGTGACAGTTTCTTAAAAGACATTTGTAATGTGGAATCGGAAACCATATCAATGACCTACTGGCCTATCCTTTGGATCTCTCAATCATTTTATAACATTTTAGAACATCACACTTTGGTCATTTGATGGTATTGGCTTATTGAGTAATGAAAGTCTTCCAAATGTTGGGACATTTCATTATACTCTATCAAAGGATCACATTTATTAACACCACTATCTACTACCTCAACTGATAAATCTTTAAGTATTAGAAATCCCTCTAGTTCATGATAAATGTTCTCTAAAATTTTAATTTTTATATGAAAGCTCCAATGATATCATTAGCAACAAATACCTGAGGGACCAGCTAACTTCTAGTGTTCAGAATATGCCTACTAGATAACTTTGAATAACTATAGGTTCTCAGTCACTGTTTCAAGTAAAACTTGCAACTTAAACATGTAAATGGCACAAGTGTTTTTCATGACACAACCACCATACTTCAGTATGCAACACAAGTGTTTTACATATTCTCCCCATTTCATCATACAGAATATTTAAGAAACGTGTACTCAAGTGTTAAGATGTAATAACAACAGTTTACTGTCTCACTCATGACATTCTTAATGAAACTGGCTTTTAAAACAAAACTGTGTGGCAGCAAAGATAAACACTGTTAGCCACTGTGCCAGCAAGTGTATGTTATACCATTAGTACACATATTAACACAGTGAAAAGGGCCAATCAGTTTTTACTATGAAGAAAACCATTTTAATCTGTGTACCTCCTAGAAGAATAATGGAGACATCTAAGGGAGTACAGACCACACTGTGAGAACCGCTGGTTTATAGACTGTCTAGTTAATAAATGTATAATATCTATTATATCACAATATTGTGCCCATGTCATTAGCATCATATTAGAAGATATTCTGAAGAAGTGTTATTCATGCAATTCTAATAACTCTAAGCTATAGTATTAAATGAATTCTTCAGAGAAAAGCAGGTTTTATTTTAACTAAAAGATTAGTAAATGCAAGTAAGGTGTGATCAGTAAAAGTTATATCCACATCCATGAAGACCTTTGGAGTCAGATGGGAATATCCACAGTATTGTCCTGAACTTAAGTTACCTGAACTTACTGAAAAATTAGAGCAACTTTAAACAAAAATAAAAATATTCTTTTGAGTCAAAAAATACTAACAGTTTGAAATAGTGAACTATGAAAAGAAAATGATAATAATTATTTTCTCAGTTATCCCAAGGATGTCACTCTAGAAGAAAAGTTACTTTATTATTCATAATGATGCCCTAGGGCAGCAGGTTTAAGTCTCCTTGTAGGCAGATTGAGAAAGGCTGATTTAAAATATATTTCCCTTTCAATAGGTCTTACAGACAATCTCAAAGTTCTTGGCAGGTTGAGGTACCATCACATTTTTGTTGTTGCCATCTTCCACAATTATCATGAGTGGGACAGAAATTTACTTTTCAATATAAAATGGAGATCTAGCAGAGATAATTTCCTGAAACAAAGTAAATACTTCACCTCTTTGGATCAAAATTAGATCAATGACGACCTCCAACTCTTCTTACTTCTATACAAATATTCCTCAGCTCAGCGACAACTCTCTCTCTCACTTTACCGGATCTGCGTTCCCTGGCTCTTCTTTTTTTTTTTTTTTTTTTTTTGTTTACTCACGACCTTGTGCTTGCCAGGCAGGCACTTTTGCGGCTGAGCTAAATCCCCAGCCCCCCTCTGGCTCTTCAATTGCCTTGAAAATGTTTTTTGTGGTATCCTCCTCTCTTTCTCAAACTTTCTACTTTCAAATAATCAGCTTTGAATTTCTTTCTAGGTTTAGGAAAGCAGAACCTTTTATTTCAACCATTACTGGACTTTGCCCCACTAATTAGTACCACCAATTTCAACTTCTTTTTCTTGTCTCCTCGAAGTCAACAAACATGAAGTGTGCCTGTGCCAGGAACTATGGTGGGGACTTTCACATAAAAAGTTTTTCACAAAAAAGCATTTAACATTTTTCCTTTAGTAACTAGGAAATTGGACTCATGTGTTTTATCATAACAATGTTATAATTGATAATTGAGAAAAACTGATATTCAGAAAGTAAGCTAAGGAACTCTAAACAACCCTAATATACCTCCACATATTCCCAAAGCACGAATCCCAGTTGAAGAAGCACAAGCAAGAACTCCTGCTCTGACGGTTCCTTCGACATTTCAGTGACAATTTTAAATAAGAAGACACTGTACTAGGTACTCTGGGACAAAGATGATTAAGCTGCTTATCCTCAATTACAAATGTCACCCTCCATCTTCCACAAGCTGACTTAGGTAGCTTAAATGTCACTTCCACCAATAAGACCATTTTGATCATCCTAGTATGTAATAGTCTTTCCTAGGGGATCCTTTACATTTCATTTCAATCATTCATGGCACATTTATGTACATATCTGTCTTTGATTTCTAGAGTGAAAGTCCTTCAGGGTAGGATTGTTCATTTACACATGCCTTTATTTCCCTAATTCCTTATATATTTGTGAATGGTAAGCTTAGGAGTTCAGAACAGACAATACCACCCAGGTCTATAGAGTCATGCTGGATTTAAACTTCAGTTCTACCACGAATTTTAGATATGTAATATGGGGTAAGTTTACGTAAGCCTCTTTCTCTGGTTTGACTTTAAACCAGAAATGATACTTATGTCTGTCTCTTGTTGTTAGGAGAGTTAAATTCAGAGATCAGTTAGAGCAGCGCTTGGCCCATGGTAATCGCTCCAAAATTATTATAATTCTTATCTACCAGCTACTAGGAGCATGAGGTGGCAAACGTTTAGCAAAGTGCACAGCACAGAATAAAAACTCTTACAATAAACAAACTAATTTATGTTTTGTACTTTCTACAGAAGATTTAAAATAGAGGATCCCTTGGTATCTTCTACACTTCTGTAGAAGAACTGTTCTAGCAACTCAGCCCACACTTTATGGATAAGAAAATCTACAGATGCTCAAATCAAATTACAGTTTACATATCACCTACACATAATCTCCTACACATTTCTATTATGTAAATAGTTATTATATTGTACTGTTTAGGAAACAGTGAAAAGAAAAAAAGCTTTGACTATATTCAATTTTTCCCTCAAATATTTTCAACCTGCAGCTGGCTGAATCTGTTGATGTGAAACCGATGGATATAGAGTGCAGACTGTGTATTAAAAAATGAAGGCAGTATTTCATTATAAAAATACTTGATTCTTGAAATTAGTCGGCTGCAAGGGCCTTTTTCAAATTTTTTCATTATAGGAAACAGCAGGCTCTAATCAGCAATGACGGTTTGCATATCTTGTTCAGGGGCTCTTAATTCCGGGGACTCATGAAAGTCCACAGATGAGAATAGTGTGGACAGAGGTATCTATGAAGGAACACAATATTAGGCAAATGTTTGTTTCTCTAAGCATTTTTCTGAAGTATCCACAACTTTCACCAGGTTATCCAAGAGATCAACCTCTGTCACTGTTCCAGCTCTACTGTAATCAACCTTGGGCAGGCTTAATTTTTTTAAATGCAAGATAAGAGGCTGGAATTATGAATCTCTACTCTTCCAGCTCCAAAATCTTTGGATATATGTTTCAGAACAAGTTTTTCCAAAGGCAAGACAATGTTTAAATATAAAAATACTGACTTTCTTACATTTTCAGAAAAAAAAACATTCGCACAATGTTGCATTTTTCCTTATTATAATACTTACGCTCAAAAGTATTTGAATGGCACGTTTGAGAGTGATAATGAAAACTGCTGTCCTGCCTGGATTCTTACCAACCATGACATTTGCAATGGAGAAAAGCACATCAGCCAGTTTTTAAACACTCTTAATTTTTACCTTTTAAACACTTAATTTTTTCTTTCCCATAAAAACCCGGGAGCTGGGCTCCCAATGTATTACAAATTCCACTTCTGACTCCACATACTCTACTTTTTGGGGCTTCTATTAAGTTCGTAGTTTGTTGCCAGCACACTCCAAAAACGAGTTCCACAGGAGTGCAAGATCAGCTGTCAGTGTTTTAGGGATAAATGAAGTAGTTTTGGCACAGCTGCGTTCAGAGTTCAACGTTTTCTGCCCCTTACATTGCCCCACACCGCCGACCCGCAGGTAGACCAGCTGCTCTGCCAAGCGCCCTAAAAGCAGCGGAGGCAGGGACCCCTCCCTCGCAAACCAGCCCAGTCCGCGGGTCTCCATCACCCGCTCCTGCCAGGACTCAAACAGCACCCTGGCTCGGCAGGGCCGAAGGCGTCGGCCCCAGCGGCACAGACCGCTGCCACCGTGGCCCTCAATCCAGAAGCCCCAGGAAGAGGCCACGGCCGACAGGGCTCTGTCCTGCGAGGTCTGGACCTACCATGGCTCCGTTGGTCCAAGCCCGGAGACTCTCACTTCTTCCCGCGGACGTAGGCCCTAAGAAAACCTCCGAACCGCGGATCTGCAGACTGACCGACGTGGAACTTCCGGGAAGCGATTCTCGCGATAGTCTAAGGCCGGGCCCCGGCGCCTGCGCAAACATCGCGCGGGGGCGGCCCTTTCGCAAACCGCGCCCCGTTTCCGAGGCAACGCGGTCTTCCAGAAAGCCTGGGACGGACCCCGGTTAGTAGGGAGAAGGGTGGCCGAACCCACCGTGGTGCTTAGCCTGGGGCTGCCGAGCGTGGGCCAGGATGAGGAAGCCCAGAAAATAAAAGATGAGAAAAGAGAACTACAGAATTTCCTCCGGACCTAACGGCGGGGTTGTCGCGGTGATGGAGAAGAGCAGTCGGGTCTTCTAGGATTCTGGTTCTGAGAGGGCGAGCAGAGAGAGCGAGGTAGTGAAAGTAGGTCCTAAAAGCAATGTATTCTGGTGGCCGACAAAGCAGGGCCAAGAGAGCTCTCTGTGGGCTACGGGAGCCCCACACGGGCCGGACTCCGGCGCTGGGGTCATCTTTTGAGGCTTAACAGCCTCAGTTCCGGAGCCTTTGAGCGTCAGGACTACCCGTCATGTCGGACTGTCTTTCACTGAGCATCTGCCCTGCCCTGCCTTCTCAGCCCAAAATGATCAGTCTTCGGCCGTGTCCCAAACGTGCTTTCCTCTCAGATCTTTGTATCAAACCTGAATTAGTTCCGTTTTACCTTGAAGAAATCTTAAGGTTTAAAGAAATTTAAGAGCCCTGGCCAAGGCAACGTAGTGTCAGAGTTTGAACTCTGATGGATGTGTCTGGAGACCCGGCTCTATCTGCTAAGTCAGGGTATCTTTGTTAAGGTACTGTAGTTGAATTACGGAAGAAAAGCCTATTATGCTGTAGAAGTTACGAGGAGAACTGCAAGAGGACCTGCCCATTGCCCTTCCTTTCAGCTAGACTTCACTCTGCTCTTTGTCTCCCTTCCTCCCTCTCTTCCTCCCTCTCTCCTTCACTTCTCTCCTTTTTTCCCCCAGAAAACATGAGAGAAATAAAACTTCTGACTACATATAAACATGTACCTCTGACTTGAGAGAAGACTTGGAGTCTTTCTAAACACCTCAAATTTCCAGAAGGGCAATGCCTGTGTATACAGGTATTTACCGGGATACCTATGGATTCCTCAAATAATTTGGCATTTAGTAGGAGCCTTCTAATGTGACTTCTTTTTAGGCCTGTTTTTTTCATCTTAAAAAAAATCAGGCCAAGGTCTGGTGTGGTGGCGCGCGCCTGTAATCCCAGCACTCGGAAGGTTGAGGCAGGAGGATTGGTGCAAGTTCAAGACCAGCCTGGGCTACAAAGTGAGCTCCAGGCTAACCTGAACTGCATAGCGAGAACCTGTCTCAAAAAAGAACAAAAACAAAAAAAACACAAAAAATCAGACTGCATAATTTCTAAGATCCTTCTATTTTTGGTCTCATTAAACATCATTGAGACTAATGGTTGCATACTTTGTTTACTAGAGAGCACAAGGATCATAGGAATTGATTGAAAATTTTACAAATATGATCAAAACCTAATTTGTTGACTAGTGGGGCTTTTGTTATTGCTGATTTCTGAATTACCTTGCACTTGAGAGTATTTTGTGGTTTGGTGCAGTACCAACTAATATAAAATAAAATGATACATCATTTTAATGAGATTTTTTTTTAGCCTATGTTTGTGATACATAATGAATATATTCACTATGGGATATTCACTGTGGGATACATACGCATATAGCATGTTGATGCTTTTTACTTCTTATGAGAGTTCGCTGAGGATTCTCAAATCCTTATGTACTACTAGGTGCACAAAGATTTTCCTGGCTGGTTTTAATGAAGGCCTAAGCCTGCAAGTGTCATGCTCACTTTATGTCTTTAAAACTTTCTGCTGCAGTTAATCAGCATCAAGTTCTGTAATTGGGGCTATAAATTAATTCCTTCAGTCAATACACAGTGCATTTGTTCTACATAAAAAGCACTATACAGCATGCTGCCTTAAGATAATATCACTAAAACTTCAGTATTTGATTTTGGTTGCAAGAAATTTAATTTGAAAGAAATAAAATCTCAAAGATGAACTAATATGTAAATCAACATTAAATATATCCATGTGTAGTCATTCCTGTGTGTTCAACAGTGGGCTTTCAATAAAATCTTTGTTTATTCCTTGATTTAGAGGAGACTGTGAAGTTAGGGAACAGCTTCAGGGAAGAAAAGAACTATGGACATGCTTAGCAAATTGGTTAAGGATTTCCCAGGAGGTTGACTGCAATTGATTAACAGATCTTAAAGTTTTACCTGGTCAATTTCTATGATGGCTCTTTCAACCTTGCCCTTTTTTGTTTTTTTTCTGGCCTGTTGCTAAGAGAATTTCAAGTGGAAAATTCTGCTGGCAGTTCCTCTATCAGAACCCTATATGTATAGACCCTTCCCTCTCTAACCCGACCCTATTTCTTCATAAGATATTGAAGAAATGAAAATAATTCTTTGAGCTAATGTCTAGTTTTGTGTTTGCTTTTTAACATACATGCTTTATCACTTAGCAAAGTGGTAGTAGGAGCATAAATAGAAACCTAGTTTCTCCCTGAAAAGGGTTAGTCTAAAAGCAGAGTCAATTATGCACAAATAATTGAATACCGGGCAGGATATGCATGCCATCCAAAGTACCAATAAAATACTCCAAGGACAGAATATTCAGCTGAGGAGAATTAACAAACTACTTAAAGAAGGCAAATAGAATTTGAGGTGGGACGTTAGGTGAGAAGTGTAAACTATGCCCAGTTGACTCAGAGAACAGTATTCATTTAGAACTGTACTGATAGAAAATGCAAACAAAGGACGTTGGAGGTAGAACCCAAAGATTTTTAAATCAAGTAGAATCGGGCTTTGCTTTAGTATGTACTTGGGAACCACTGTTCCAGAAAAGAAACCTGTTTATATCTGTACTCTAGAAGATTTACATTTTCTTGATGTGTATAAAGCATTGGAAGAAATGAATTGGGACAGGACTATAAAAGGGGGAAGTGGGTGTGGAAACAACAGTAATAACCGTTTTTGAGTGCCCACTATGTACCGACCTTTGGAATATGCACTTTGAGTACTGTAATTCATATAATTCATATTCATATATGTATTTATATATATAATATATATGTAAATACTAAAAAGCATTATTTTGTCCAACTTATAGGTGAAAAACTGAGGCCCAAATGTTCCATGTCACACTACTCAAAAATGGTGACAGAACTGAGATACAAACCTAAGTCATACCTAAGAATCCTAATACCCTTTTTGCTGGACTTTCTTTTTCACTGAATCTAGAATCAACTGGATATACAAATGATTTTGTTGAGCTGAGGCGGTGGGATGCCTCCTAATGGTAGTGTTTTGAATGGAATAAACTCAGAGGACAATCTTTAATTAAAAAACATGAAGAACCAATAAATGGCAGTGGAAGTAATGAAAGAACAATCAGAGAACAGACCCAGAAGAATTAAAAACAAGAGAAAAAAAAGGAACTGGTGCAAGAAAGTTCTGTGTAGAAGACTCAAGAAAATTACATAGCACAGAAGGAGAGAAGGAAGATGAAACAGTGATTAGCAGTCTTGGCATCTTTAAAGACCTTAAAGAGGCTTAGTATTTACAGAAACTATTGCCAAGGAATTAAGTGATTGTAAGGACATTAGCAGCCTTTAAAAAAAGCATTTTCAATTGAGTAATGCTGAAGCAAATTTGCAAGAGATTAAGAAATAATTGGATGATAAAGAGGTGAAAGTTGTGAATATAAACATTTACCAAGAGGTTAGTGATGAAAAGCAAATACTGATGTGCTACATGTAGCACTGAAAGTAGCTTAACTAGTCCTGCGTTTAGGATGTAGTTGACATTACTTACTTTATGATAATACTCCTAATAGAAACATGCAACTAAATGGACCTTTGTGGTATGAGCAGGAATTAGCCAGGCATATATCAAGAGTACTGTATATGAAGAAAACTTGATTTTCCCAGAGAACTCAAAATAGTTCAGCATGTCTGCACTAGAGTAAGGGAGAAGGATTGAAAAAAATGATAACAGAAAGACATATGAGGTTTAACTTCTGAAGGTCCGTGATTATCCATTTAAGGCATCTGGACTTCATCCTGAAGAATTTGGGAATCCATGGAAGAATGTTAAAAAGGGTAATATTCATGCTTTATTATTGGTTCATTTCTGCATATTAGTTACTTTCCCTATTGGAGGAAATTTTAAGACTGTCAACTGTATTCCTGCATAAAGTGACTGAAAGTGAAAGTTTTGACCACATGGTCATATACCAACTATCAACAGACTAATGTGAATTGGAGAACTACTGCTGGCTTCAAGAAGAATGCAGATATGGTGGCCTAAAAAGTAATGAAGGTTTGACAGACTGTTGAATCTCTGACTGACTACAGAGTGCGGTGCATTTCCAGTGATAACCTTCTAAGAATTAAAACATTTGTGAAACTTCCTCAATGCTAGTTTGATGTAGGATTTGGAATGGAAAAAATGTTAAATTTTACTTACCAAAAAGTATTTTAAAAATCTGGATAATTTTACCTTTAAAAATGTACGTTAGCTTCATGGTTTTTTTAAACAAAATTTTGGAGGCATCAGAATTTAAAGTTAGCTTTTAAATGAGATGAAGAAGGTGATTTCATAGATGGGAATAGCTTGACATCCTAATTATGGCAGTAGTGTTTTAGGAGCTTGTCATTTAGTGATGTCCATAGTGTCTAGGTTACTTGTCTCTTATTGCTGGGACAAAATACCTGACACCCAAAATTAAGGAAGGAAAGGTTTAGTTAGCTCACAGTTTGTGGAGGTTTCAGTCCATAATCAACTGGCTCCAAGGCAGGGTGGCACATGGCAGAGGAGCAACAGTTCATGGCAGCTGGAAGACAGCAAAAGCAACAAGAGCAAAAGGGGGAGGAGGAGCACGAGAGAGGGAGCCTGTTTTCCTCTGTTATGTTGTATGCAGGCTCCCTGCTGCAGGGCGGGTGTAGCACTCATGCCCAAAATCCCAGCTTTGGACCATGAATCAATCACAGACTCTAGAAGCCCACCCCATGGCTGCACAAGGCTTTGGGGGGACAGCCAGACACAAGCCATACACATAGTGTTCCATTTACCCAAGATTCTGTACTGTCTTTGCACACATGCAGTACTAAAACCACCCTCATGGTAGGTCATGACAAGCATGCTCTGTGTACTCTTCTGTCCCAGGGATGTCTTGTGGAGTGACCACTCTGGATCGTGGTTTCATGACCTACAAAATAATGTCAGATGGCATGAGCCCTAAAGTCTCTTTCCTACTCCAAGCATTTTTAGACTTTTGAATCTGTGATTCTCTGGTCTTGTGGAAGAGGAGAGTGCCTGCAGGATATGTAATTGGACATTTTTTTCCCATCATTTACATGCCAGTTCCTCTCTCTTTTCATATATTTAAAGCATGCATTACTCTTTCTCTAAAAGCCACCGCCCACCTGTGAGTTTTTGTTGAGATTTCCTTGTGCCTGGAATACGATATAAAATATAAGGATCCTGTGGCTCAGGACAAGGAGCCTGGGGTGATGAGGGACCAGAAGTAGAAGCCCAAGAGTGTATTGTATGCAGAGGTTCCAGGTGAACTTTCATAGGGAAATGATTTCACAAAGTTTTAAATAACCAAGTAGAAAAGTTTAGGGCAATTATATTGCTTTAAGAATTATGTCCTTGTAAATGGCAGTGCTGCATAAAAATAAATGAATAATAATGACAAACAGCCTGAATATCTGTTATATAGCAGATACCTTCAAATTAACTGAAAAAAAAGTAATGTAAAAGTGAAATATCTGGAGTGACAAGGCACTGCACAGTATAATTTCCATCAAATTGCTTTATTCCACTTTCTTCTAAAAAAATTTGTCAGCTCAGGTTGATCTAAGGACACTACTGAATGTGAATTCAAATGTAGTTCAAACTTCAAGGTTTAAAAATGAAGTCCTTAGGCTCTGAATTCATGATATGCTTTGGTACCTGAAGATGATAATCCAATTCATATTGAGTTGCACCACTATTGGTCTTTTCATTTGATCAAAGCAACTTCACATTGAAGGTGCCTGATCAAATCACTAAAATCCAAATAAAGCTATTGTCTTTAGGAAGAAGAAATTGTTTCTTTTGCTAAATATGGCCAAGTTTTTGTGTACCTAACATTGACAATGAACACATACAGAACTACATCCTGAAAAGGTTTATATATAAAGTACATTTCACTTTATATATATTCATACAGACAGGCATAGGTAAAGTAAATATCTAAGGGATGTAAAAGGGGCTTTTAAGTGATTTTGTTTATTTTCATTCTCTCATTTTCTATTACTTTGAAGCATTGTGTTTAGTTTAAGAATAATTTAAATATTATGTAAGCAATAATGTACCTTTTCTTCTGGGCTCAGTATCTTAGAAAAACTTTGTAATCTTCCAAATTCTGCATGTCTTATAATGAATAAATGCGCTTTAAATTGTTCTGATTATAATAAATAAATAAATAAATCTATACTGCATAATAAAGAAGTTATTGTAAGCAAACATAAAATGTACCACAAGATCTTGCCATTTTGAAGGAAACCTACTTTGAATCTGCGTATAGCAAAGAAATACTTCTTATTTTCATTTATAAAACCCACTTAAAGTGCACTGAAATTTTATAGTCATAACTGAAAAAGAAAACACTCCTCCAAAAGAATATGTAATTCCTGGCTGAATGTTTCAAGAGAACCATGAACCATGTTTTGAGATAGGAATGGATTTTATGTTCAGGGGTATTTGTAGTAGAACTAGACAAGTGAACAACTTTGTTAGGCTTATAGTTGCAAGGGGAAGGTGAGGTACATGAGCAGGGACCAGAGGAAGGATAAGGGTTAATGAAGCCTTCAGTAGAGTGTAAGCAGGCTTATATTCAGCTGGTATGTATTAGTATTGCCAACACTGGTAGTATTGAAACATGAAAATATTTGTTGTTAATTTGCCATTGCCTTGAAGCTGCCTCTTTACCATCCGAGCTGATCAGACCCTCACCTGAGCACATCCCATTCCAACCCTACAGAGACAACAGATCATTCCACAGGGTTCATCCAGGATCCTGATTCTGTGCAATAGCCATCACCTGGACTGCTATTGGGAGTCTCCTGATTGATGAGTATCAGTACTTAACATTGTTAGATATTTTGAATGTCAACTCTGCTGTCAAGGTAAGGATAAAGAACTGACCATCTGGTGCCTTCAGAGATGAGCAGGCAACGAAAAAAGAAGTCAAGTGTTTTCTACCAACAAGGTATATTCATAGTGGGACAAGTTTTAAAGGAGGCTTGGTTGAACTTTGGTAGCTACCTCCAGCCTCGCAGCTCCTCCTTGGGCCCCCACACATTTTTTCATCAACTCTGTGTCTGTAACTTTCTAAAAAACGTGTGTGGTGGATTCATTACCTAGCTCATTACTCTTAAAGTGCAATCTTTTAAGCTTCTTCTAGAGTGTCCAGAATTTTATAAGGACCATAGACTAGGAAAGGGGATCACAGCTGTTCTTACAATGGTATTTTTATTGTTTTTGTACATAGAATTTAGCCTTGCACTCATTGTTGGGTGTGTATATTAAAGCCATATCAATCTACTTAGTCTACTTTCATTTGACTTGCTATGAAAAAGCAAATGTCAGCCATTTTTTCTGAGGCAGTTTTAAGATTTTTCTCTTTGTCTTAAGTTTCTGAAATTCCATGTTAAATTGTCTAAGCATGAGTTTCATTCTATTCTGCTTGCAATTCACTGAGTCTCTTAAATCTGTGAATTGGCGTCTTTCATCAGTTCTAAAAAATTCTCAATTTCTATTTTCTCTTTCATGCAAGTCAATGTAAGAGCTTTGTGCTATATTCTCCACATGTGTTATCCTCTTTTTTTGTTTGATTTTCCTTAGTACTTAAAATGTTTTCTGCCTCACTTTCCAGTTCATCATTTCTCCCTTGAACTGTATAAGAAATATTATTGTTAAGTTTTTAATTTCTATTTCTTTTTATGCCTTTTCAGATATAATACATAACTTTGTACAGTCTTCTGTAACTATTTTTAAGGTTGTCATTTATTTCTATTACGTGATAAGCATAGTTGTCTTTAAACTGTGGTCTTATAGCTAAACTTTGCAGGGTCAATCTCTCTCTCTTTCTCTCTCTCTCTGTCTGTCTCTCTCTTGTCTTGCTGATTCTTGTTTTTTTGATTCTTATCTTTGCTTGGATAACTGATCACTGTTCTGAAATTAGTTGCAGGGTACTCTGAAGCCTGGTTTGTATGTTCCCTCTTCCAGAGAGGTTTTTTTTTTGCCAGCCACTGGGGGACACAAGCCACTGAGATCCCCTTGCACTCCATACATGACTTTAAAGTCTCATGCCTTACCTAAGAGTATCCAAGGTACACATCCACCCAAGATTGTTCTGTGGTGACAACTTCTTTTGTCTCTTTTCTTTTTCATAGTGTTTTGCTCAGTACCAAGGCAGACTCTCTTGCAGCCACCTAGGTTTGAGGGGGAGGGTTGGTGGATTTAGATTCAGTTTTTCCTTAGTTTGCATGTCTGCTAATTTGAGAAGTGTGTCCTGTAGCGTTTTTCACTTTTTGTCACCTCTAAGTTTTGACTAGTACTCACCAAGCCCTAGTGACTACAGCAATATTGACAGATGTCCTTATTGGTTTTGGTCATTTATTCATTTCCTAGAAGTTGTGTGTGTGTGTGTGTGTGTGTGTGTGTGTGTGTGTGTGTATTTTCAAATGTTTGTTAAAGTAGTAGTGTTTATAATTTACCCATTTTTCCATTGTTACTGTGTTCAGCAAGAGTATTGGTCTGAATAACCTAGCTTGCTGGTACCTGAAAGCAGGAGCATCCGAGAGAGTTTATAATTGAGTCTTAATAAAAGTGTTTTAGAGATGAAAGATGGTAATATTGGTAAGTTATTTTGACTTAGAATGGAGAAAAGAGGTTCCAGCTCAACTGTTAAGAGGTACGTAGTGGAATTGTAGCACACACAAAACTACATTTCTACAGGTAATTACAGGGAGGTCAGTGCCCCTGAAAATTGAGCCCCTCTGTAGGTGATGTGGCAGGGTCACATGGGTTTTCCCATTTTTCTCTAGAGGCTTACTATCTGCCAGCATGTCTCCCCCCTGACTCCTAGAGAATTTCTGTTCATTCGTTTGTCTCATGTCCTCCATTCTGTCACTGCTCCCTCTTGCACCTAGATCAAAATGTGAGAGGAGTCACCAGTGCTCCCAGGTTAGAGCTGGGTCTTCTCTCAAGGTGCAAAATATGTGCACATATTTATTCACATGGTGTCAAACCCAAGCTAAACTCAAGCACCACGGCAGTGAGATAGGTTACACCAATTCAAGAAACACTTCCCGGTGACCTACTGTGTGCAATGAGTAGTATGAAGTTCTGGAAATAGAT